CATAGCTCAGCGGCACAAGTGCCTGCCTGGCAAGTGCAAGGTCCTGAGTTTGATCCCCAGTACCCCCCCCAAAAAAAGGTGCCTGAAGAGCTCTGTGGAAGTGGACGAGTGCAACCTGTTGCCATGTGAAGGAGCAATCATGAAAGTATTAAGAGGAGCTGCACAGAGGAGTGAGAGGCTCGGGTCTGTTTTCAAAACAAGTATTCTAGCGATAATGTGACGAAATACATAGCAGAGGGGGAAAGTGGATCAAGACTGCTGAGGGACCAGACGAACAGGTAACCAGTTTCACTCATTTCTGCAGTCTCTTTGCCGTCTTACAGGCAAAACTGGACAAACTATTCCACTGGGTGGATGCCATAGTAACCAACAGATGAAAGACATTAGAAGGAATCAAGAACTACTCTTAAGTCCCCGGCACTGCTGGGTACTCAAAATTTGTACATAGAATGGCCGGTGCCAAATCACACCACACAGAAAACAACGACTCAGGTAGAACTCCAAGTTTCCCAAACATGGGTAGCACAAAGAACATGCCCAGTCTATTTGCCAGTACTGGTTAGTACTGGGAATGGATTAACATAAACACTGTAGGGAAGAAAGCCAAGTTACGCAAAATATACTTGGGCTTGGGAAGGCCTCAGAAAAAGTATCTGCAGTTAAAAGCACTGCAGTTAAAAGCACAGCATAGAACAAAAATTGCCAAAGAGATTCTGCAACCAGAAAGATCAGAAAAGATCAGATCCTCTCAAAGAAGGAAAGGAAAAAAGAGGAACAAAGAAAAGGCAGTTCATTTAGCAGTTCAAGTCAGAAAAATCTCCATAGGAAAATTTCATATTCATTTCTTTTTTTTGGTGGGGGTGGGGGGTACCGGGAATCAAACTCAGGACCTTGCGCTTGCCAGGCAGGTGCTTGTGCCACTGAGCTATATCCCCGGCCCCTCATATTCATTTCTATCACAAAATTCAGTACATATTCAATTAGTTACATTATTCAATATCAGATTTTTTTTTAAATGTTTTGAGGAGCTATTCATACTAAAATGAAAATGCAATGGGTTGGTCATTAGCAGCTAAAAACCATTTCTTTTATCTATTTACCATTAACTGCCAGCTAACTTTTTAGAACCATATGATGTACTAATTAACTATAAACACCCTAGAGATGTCAAATAATGATAGCAGTAAGTTCTTCCCAACACAGTTTTTTAGTTATGCTCCCCGGTAATTTATCAATTTTGTACGAACAATTACAAAGGCCTTTACACCTTTTGAAAGTCACGATCAGACACCTAAATTTAGTTCACTCAAACCAGGACTACACAAGAATATTTAGAGCTAATGGGTCACTCAAGATGACTAGAACTTCCCGATCTCCCCATGTCATTTCCGTTTATCATTTTTTTTTAAAGTGAAGTGAGTCATAGTGCATAGATCTTTCTCCTCTGCACAAAATATAGTTTTTTTTTTCCTCTGAAGAGAACTCTGTTTAAATAAACATCATTGGGAAGTCTTAATACTGGCCTTCTTGGAATATAACAACATCAGCTGTATATGCCAGTAAGGAATTTTAGTGCGTTACTGTTATAACATGGTTTCAACCCCATCAGGCATCAGATGGTATTTCATAATGAAGGCAGCTATAAAAACAAATGTCAGTTGGAAGAGTGGTTCATTTTACAAAGCTTGCCTCTAACATGGAATAAAATCTGGCCTTCAAGTCACAAGCCACTGTGGCAATCTCCTTTATCTGAAACAATCAAATCATTCACACCGAAAAGTAGTGAGCTGTGACAGAGCATCAAAGACTAGAGATGAGAAAAAAGAGCAAAACACCTGACCCAGGCCCTCTTAAACCACAAACGGAGGGCAGCGTAGCATCTATCTTTCCATTCATTCCAGCTCTTCTCTCATCATAAAAAACCAGTGCCTTTGCCCTATCTGAGCTCTCTCCTTTGCACAGAAAGACTAATTCAAGCACGAGGCTCACTGAATACGGTACCACTTCCACTTTCAAATCAGATGACTGTAAGTCATTTAAATGCAAGAGAACGATGTTTAAAGCCATCTACAGATGCTATCAAAGCAGACTTTTGATAGACCTAAATGCCTGTTAGCATTATGCGATTTATTAGCATTAAAGATTTAAAACATGATTGCGCTCACTTTATCAAATTGAGCCGGCAAAGAATCTTTGCCTGAAACCTTTGTTTCCGAAGCTGCCACCTTCATCAGCACTCAACACCACTTCACCCTTCGTCCTTTTCCCATTTATTTCCAAGTATGAGCATCTTTCTGCCCTAATTAGAAAAGTTTGACTCAGAAACTATACTGCCTAGTTCATAAAGTTTTAAGCAAAAGTTACATATTATTTTCCTAAGTCCAACGGACTACACCATCTCCTCTGCACAAAATATAGTTTTTTTTGACTATATGACTCAAAATATGACTTTGCCTAAGATTGCCCTCATTATATGCTATAAAATATTAATTTTTTTCAACTTCCATTTTCTAACCAACAGCAGACACATTTCTTTGGTAAACCGACATGTCTTGGAAAATTAACCATCTTGCATTCTCTCAAGGTCATTTGAGTTCTATGTTTTTAAACATGCCACAGTTGTTAAGATAAAGAACCACTTTTTAATTTAAAAGGAGCTTCTGATTTTGATTTTAGAATATGAAAATATTTGCACTTTAGAGGTGAAGAAAACCCACAGTGACAATATTTAAGATCAAAAGAAACCACCTCCAGGAATCTGGCAATCCACTGGGGGAGGCTGTCTTCATTACTTGTGGGATTTAAATGTGGAGAAATTTAAGAACAATGAGGGGAATTAATTGAAGATCAATAGTTTCATGCTGGTAGCATTCTTAACACAGTTTTCACAATGCTTTGGGTGTCAGGTCAGGCCAGTCTGACCTAAAACTGTAGGAAGTCAAATTTTAAAAAATAAAATGGATTTGTTACCAACACAGTGAGTTTCAGTATAAAAGATTCCCCTGAATGCACCCTCAAGTTATGGAGTATTTCACAATTAACTCCAACACTTTAGACCAGCAATTATGGAAAGCCACTCTGGGATCTATTGCATTAGATCTGATGCAGAGAATTTGTCTACATATTCTCAGTCACTGGTGGAGCTCATTCAATTAATTTGCAGAGATCAGACATGGAATACAAATTTTTATATATTGATCAATCATGCTTACACAGAGTACAGTTATAAACGTTAGTCTACCAGAAGTTAATATTCATTACAGCCCAAGTATTAAGAATCCTGTTAAATATACTTGAAATTAAGGCTGCCAAAAAAAGTCCAGCATACCAAAGAACTGCCTAAAGCTTTTTCCTCTTTTAAGTGAGGCTCAAAATAGATTTTAATACTACAGTTGATGGATCTCACAATCTGCCTTTTGAGCCTACAAGCTGAAAACTAAGAAACTACCTTCTCCTTTTACACAATTAACAAAAATCTATTTTTTTTTTATTTTAAAGAATAAAAGAAGGATAACATAATAATAGGGGGGACTTAGCAAATTACAGACAAAATGGTAGGAAATTATCAATGGTTATCATTTTACATATTATTGTCTACAAAATAGTTTCTCAGGAAAACAAATAGACAAATAATAGTGAGTTACAGACAAAAGAGGTAGGAGATAACAAAAATCTATTTTGTACCTTGCTTATTTAAAATACTGAGCGAGTGTGGTTCTGGTTAAGCCTCACAACCCCCACAATGGCATTTAATCAGGAGTACATAGTTTCTTTAGATGATCTGTCTGCTTGTGAAGGAAGACCTCTTCGTGCTTTCAATCTGTTTTTTGTTTTTTTTTTGTTTTTTGGTTTTTGGTTTTTCTCCGGGACCGGGAACCGAACTCATGACCTTGCGCTTGCCAGGCAAGTGCTTTGCCGCTGAGCTAAATCCCCAGCCCCTTTCAATCTGTTTTTATAAATCTATGAGAAACCTTACCTTGCTAACTTTTATGAACCATTAAAACCCACAAGTAGAGGAGGTCTGAGAAGATACCAGCATCTGAGCCATGACCAAAGGATAAGATGTTCACTGGGGGAAGATGCCACTTCAGAAAGGGTTAAACGTTAGCCGACCCTACTCTCGGCCTGAAAGAGTAGTATTCTGGCCCCGGGTGGAGTGGGTCCTGCAAGCCTCGCTGGAAGTCTCCTGGGCCTGATAATGTCAAGGTCTGCTGCTCCTCCTCATCAGCGCACAGAGCAAATGTCTCTCTGGCGGACCTCTCCTCTGCCCCTTCTCTCAGGCTGCAGGCTCTCCGTGCTGCCACACTCCACGGCGGCAGGGTGTTGTTCTTTTCACAACACTTGTCACCATCTGAAATGACTTGCTTCTGGGTTCCACAGCCTCATTCAACCCCAAGCTCCACCGAGGTCGGATCTTGCCTGTCCTGCTCAACAAACACTATCCCCGGTGCCTAGCACGGAACCGGCAAGCCAGCTGATGGCCAATAAATGAATGAACAGGAAGGGGGAAGGGGACTGTCATCCCGGGGATTCGCCGCACACCGAGACTAGGGGAAAGGAAATGTGAAGGAAGGTGGGGGGGCAGGCCTTTCCCCCAGGGAGACAAAGGAAGGGAGGCAGAGGTGGTCCGCTCCAGAAAAGGAAGTGGTGGGGGTGTTAAAGCAACCCCAGGGGACAAAGGGTGGACGGGAGGGGGCGGGGCGGGGTGAGGGACTCACGCCGGGCAGGTAGACGGCGGCCCACGGGGCCGAGAGGTCACCGGGCCGGCGGGGGTGCGGTAGCTGGGGGATCGGAGGGGGCTGCGAAGCCCGGGCGAGACGCAGGCTCACCGAGGGGACAAAGAGAGATGGGGGTCGGCCTGTGCCGCTGTCGGACAGAACCCCAGGCCGCAGGGCCGAGACGCAGAACGGGACCCCGCGGCGATGAGGGACCGGGGGTCGGAGGAGAAGGTTCCCGCGGCCTAAGCGAAGGGCCTGCCGCGCTCCGGGGCGCTCCCGCACCTGGTAAATGGCCGCCCAGCTCCCGGTCTTGTCGATCTGCTCGAACTCCTTTTCCATTTCCATGACGGGCCAGGGCGGCGCCGCGCCCCCTCCTCGGCCAGCTACACCGCCTGTCGCTCTAGGCCGCGTCTCGCGCTGAGCCCCGAGGCCCCTTCCAAGCCGCGACTCTCGCCGCTACCGCCGCCCTAGCCGCCGCTGCTGCTTCATGTCAACCCGGCAAGCGGAAGTACTCACCCCTCCTGCCGCAGGCTCCGCCCCTATAGCTGCAGAACCAATCATCACTCGTAAATGTCGGCAAGAACTTCCGCGGGGCGGGGTCAGAGGCTGGCTGGGGTAGTGGCCTTACCCCCGCGAGACCGCTGGCTGCACACGCTGCCCGCTCCCCTCCCGAGCTCCTGGCTTGGGCGTGGCGCGCTCCCGTTGCCTAGGCGACCCCTGGGAGCCCCGCCCACAGGGCGTGGGTTTACGAGGCCAGGGTGGATTTTGGGTTCGACTGTAGACCTGACTGAGTGACTTGAGTGACCTTGAGGTAGTGTTGCATCTTTCCTGCTGCGCCAGGGTCCTAGCTGTAGGGTTCCCAGTTGGGGCATGGGCGGAGGGCAGCAGGCTCCCTTTCTAGTCCCTGGGCTCCAGTCAGATGTCCACCCGCCTTTTTTTCATGAAATTTAGAGCTTCACAATTCTCCAGGCTGCTGGGGACAGCCCACACACTGCTCTTTCTTAGGGTAACCTCTCCGTCTGAAACGCAAGCTTTTGGTTTGGGCAGGAATGAACAGATGGGGTCGCGGGATGGTTTTCTGTATTTCCCAGTGTATGGGGAAATCCTGCTCGGGCTGAACTCAGCGGAGCACAAATTCCCGTGATGCCTGACAATCTCCTGGGAAGTGTGAACAGTGCGGGCTGCTGGATCTCCCTTCCAGCAAGGGCCCCCAGGCGAGGCCCAGGAATCTGTATTTTCAACCAGCAGCCCCAGTCAGCTCTAAAAGTTGTGGTTGTGGAAGCGTTTCCATGAGAAGGATGAGATTTCCTTCCTGCAGGCCAGTTTAAACCACCTACCTCTGGGCCTGGCGCGTTATATGGAGTCATAGGACCATGTCATCCCAATCCTATTCGCGTGCCAAGCCTGCCCAGAGCACCTGCCTGGTAGTGCAGGTTGAATTCCAGTTCCTTGGGCAACAAGCTCCAAGATGTGATTCCCATCTTATATATGAAGAAACAGGCACAGGAAGGCAAAAATCACTCATCCAGAGTAGCATTATAAAGTGGTATGGAGACCACTTTGGTGCTATGGATTCTAAACTGGTCTTCACAGGAGTGCCTGCTTTGGAGCCAGGCTGCCTGAATCCAAATTCTGGCTCTACTAAATACTAGCGGTGCAGCTTTGGGTGAGTTTATGTTCACCTCTGTGCCTTTGCTCTCTCCTTTATAAAATCGAGGTGATAAAGGCGATAACCTCGTACAGGTGGTGTGAAGATGGCATGGTTACGTAGAATGTTCCTTAGTGAGCAGCTCGATAAATATTAGCTCTCATTGAGCTGGGGATTTAGCTCAGTGGCACAGCGCCTGCCTGGCAAGCACAAGGTCGTGAGTTTGATTCCCGGTACCGGAATTAAAAAAATATATATATTAGCTCTCATTATTCTATACCTTCAAATAGCAGCAAATGGAGGGGTCAGTGAATTTTTACTGAATAAACACAACCGGTTGAACAGGCAGTGTCTTTGGAAATTGAGGGTTCCACTGGGGGAGTAATAAAAGTTGCCCATTCTGGTGAAGATTTGTGAGCCCCACAGTCCAAAACTGTCTGATTTAAGTCTTAGGCCATGTAAATGATTCTCCAAGTACATGGGCTTTTCCTGCCCTCATATTACATACTTGAGGACTAAGTTGTCTGGAGCCCGCAGCACAAGAGCTCCTTGGAAGGAAAGAAATCTCATCTGGTTCGTTCCTATCCCTCTTTGTTGAGCTAAGTAAGGAAATTCATCAAATACAGCCAGTTGTGGTGGCACAGGCCTGCAATCCAGCTACTCAGGAGGCTGGGACAAGAGCATCACAGATTCAAGGCCAGCCTGGGAAATTTAGAGAGATGCTGCCTCAAAATAAAATAATACAAAAGGGGCTGAGTATATAGCTCAGTGCTCTCTGGATTCAATCTTAGTACCACAAAAATCAGTCAGTCAGTCAAATACCCATTTTGAGCCCAAGTGGTCCTCAGACTTGCAGGAGTGCTGCTTGATGACTGGCGTGGCCAAAGTTCTGCACAGGACGTGGTGGCACAGCACAGGGCTGAGGCAGCCTCAACTGGGCCCCAGTTTGGGCTATTTCATGGCTACTCCGGTTTCCTACAACTGCTGTAACAAATCAGTGACTTATAATAACAGAACCGCATTCCCTCACAGTTCTTGAGGCCCCAGAGGCCAACATGCAAGGTGCCGACAACACCTGCTCCCTCTGGAGGCTCCAGGGCAGAACCCTTCCTTGCCTGTTTGAGATCTGATGACTCCAGTCTTCCTTGGCTTGTGGCCTCATCACTACCACTTACGCCTTGTTTCACATGGTTTTCTTTCTCTGTGTCTCCTCCTGTCTGTCACATCTCCCTCCATCTCTCTTTTATAAGAACACCCGTCATTGGATTGCAGGCCCAGCCTCATGCAGACTGATGTGGCAATTCTGGTAATCCAGACCATCTTCATGGTGAGCTCTTTAAATTAATTACATGTGCAAAGGCCCTTTTCCCAAATAAGATCACATTTCCAGGCATTGGGTATTAGAACTTGGACATATCTTTTTTGGGGCTTCTGCTCAACCCACTACCATGGTAGAAAGTGAAACCTGATCACAAATATCAGTCTTGGGTGAAACCCCTAATTTCAGGCACCAGCTCATTTGTTCTTACATCTGTTCTTCCCATTGCAGCAGCAAGAGCTCTGAAGATTTAGACTAAGAAGGATTCAGAAGTAATCACATGCAAACTCACCAAGTTTCCCATTCTCCTTAGAATAAAACTGCCTTCATCACCCTGGCTCCCAAACCCACATGTCCAGGCCCCTCCCCACTTCCCCAGCCTCTCTTTCCTTGCACCCCTCACTCTGTGTCCTTGCTCAACACACCCAGCTGGTTTCCACCTCAGGACCTTTGCACCAACTGGTCTTGCCTGGGTCACTCTTCTTAAAGACCTCACCCTTCAGGCCTAGGTCAGTTAGTCACCTCCACAGGTAGGTCTGACTGCCTCTCCAAAATAGCCCCCAGGCATTCTCTCCCACACACCTTTCGTGTTTACATCACAGCATACAGGTAGGTTGTTAACTGGCTGGCTTATTTCCTCTCCCCTCCCTCCACCAGTGTTCCTTTAGAGCAGAGACCTGAACTTCCTGTCTGTGTCCCAAGCACCTCACATTTGGTGGGGAGGAGGGATTCAAGGTGCTAGAGTCCTCTGTGACTCTGAGGCTTGGCTTTCTCTGTGGAGCCCTCTTGGCTCCCCGCCTCCCAGAACCAGCCACACCCTAGGGCCCCCAGTGCCGTGATGGTGGTGACGGGGAATCTTTGAGTGATGACTGGTTAGAGAATAAACAAGTGATCATGTGTCATGAGTGCCGAGGCCTTTTCCCGGCAGGCGTGCCTGGGGAAGCAGCTCATGAGCTCCTCCGGCCTTTCCTTCACAGATTTAGCTAATGGAGGAGATCAGCAAAACAAATCAATGACCCATTAAACTTTTTGAAATGTCCCACAGTTGTCCGTGCAGGACGGCTGCCTACCAAGTCTCTGAGGGATTGCTGATTCCTGACCGAGCGCTGTCAGCAAGCGACCTGGTGAAGAACTTGGGGCCCGGATGAGTCCACATTGGTGCTCAAATGAAATGTCACTTCCTCAGAGAGGCCCCCCGTCACCCCTCCTAATAAGCAGTGCCCATCACACTGTCCTTTGTCCTTCCTAGCACTTTCCAGGCATCTGATGACATTTTCTCCCTCGCATTACTATGCAGTACTGTGTTACATATCTGTTTTATATGTTTTATATATCTGTTTATCACCTGTCATTGCCACTAGCTGTAAACTTGAAAAACCAAGACAAGTCAATTTGGTTCCATGCTGACCTTGTTGAGCAGCAAGACACACCCACCAGTCCTGGGAAGGTTCTGGAAGTCGAGATGACAGGGCTCCTTTGCACCTCACAGACTCAGAGCTTGTAGGGGTCATCCAGTTTCCTGGGTCAGTCTCTGGGGCACACAGCCAGAAAAGGGGGTGGCTCCTCCCTATGAGAGTCACACGCTGTTCCAGGGGTCTGGGCACCTGGGCTGCACAGCTGGTCTGGGGCAGCCAAAGACATCCCTTAGTGGAGTAAGCAGCGGGCAAAGCGAGGCCCAAAGCACTAGAACCTGGACGCTCGGGGCTTTTGGCTGCAGCCATGAAAGGTGTCGGCTACCCGAGTTCCCATCAGCCTCTATTTCCCAACAGCCCTGAGAACCTGCTGCTGCCCCATTTCACAGACTAGCATGAGTATTAAGAGAGGGGAAAGAAGAGGGAGCAAGGTGGCACATCCGGTCAGAGCTTCTAAATCCTTGGTCTGTTGCTCATGGGGCCTTGGGGCCTGGGGACATTGCTTAACCTCCTGGTGTCAGCCTGGATGCTCGCCTGTGAGAAAAACCCAACTGAAAGTGGCCTTTGCAAAATGGGGAATTCAGTGGCTCATGAAAATGGGAAGTCCGAAGATGGCTTGCTTCAGGCACAGTTAGATCCAGGAGCTCGGACCATGTCAGCATGACTCTGCCTCTTGCTACCTCTCTTATCTACTTTCCCTGTGCTTGCTGCGGCCCAGGCAGGCCCTCTTCCCTGATAACCGGGCAGGCCTCCCAGCTCCAGGCTAACAGCTTGTCAACTCAGCAACCTCTTCCTCCTGGGGATCCCAGCATGAGGCCTGGCCTGGAATCTCTTTGACTTGATGGAGGCACACATGTCACCTCTAAGCCCATCTCTCTGTCCATGGGAAAACTTGATCAAGGAGGAAACTGAGGCTCAGGGAGGTCCGTTACTTAAGGGAGGTCATATAGCCAGTTAGTAAGATAGTGGGATGTGAACACAGGCATCTGGTTCAGCATCTGTGTTCTCAGCCATGATCTGTACAGTGAATCTAAGAATGTTCATGAGCTCCAAAAATAGTCACAATGATAATGAGGGCGCTGCTGATGCAGATAATATTATTACTTAGCAACACTGTGGTCCCCACTTATCT